GAAGGAGAGGAGAGGAGAGGGAGAAAGAAAAGAGAAAGAGAGAGAGAGAAAGGAAGAGAGAAAGGAAGGAGGAAGGAAGGAAGGAAGGAAGGAAGGAAGGAAGGAAGGAAGGAAGGAAGGAAGGAAGGAAGGAAGGAAGGAAAGAAAAAAAAGATGAAAATCAAAGTCAGGTACTTTCAAGCCAAGTTTCTTCTGCCTCTTCTCAACCTCACTCAGGACTAGGAAGGGGCGAGGGCCGTCTGCCACTCCAGGGGGCCGTCCCAGTCACCTGTTTCCGGGCTTGCTGGAGAGGCAGAGCACAGAAAGAACTTCTGCCCCCTGACATTCTCTCCCCCTTCTCGCTCGCTGGGGTAACCGAGGGGACCGCATTGCTGTCACTAAGCAACCTGACTCCGCTCTTCCCACAGTTCACACACCCCCTCCCACTCCGCCCAGTTGGCTGCTGTGCCATGCCAAGTGCCTGCCAGCCTGAATCTTCACCAGCGGCTCCTCCTGCGAAAGGTGGTTTGTTTAACAGGCAAACACTGTTTTGATATGGTAAGATGGACTTAAGGTAGAACTGGGGCAGCAATGGAGAGAAAGGGTGGCAAAGAGCTTTGAGGGAGAATAAGGACATAGCACTGGGATCATTTTCATTTATTTTAGTACAGCCGCTTCCAAAAAACCAATTTTTGGCATTGTAACTGCCATTGTTGCTTTTTTTTACTCCCCTCTTTTATTGGCTGTACGCTTTAGTATTGTTAATTATTATTATATTCTATTGTTTTACAAGTACACGGGGTGCTTCTGTCCCAGGGACAAATTCCTTGTGTGTCTAACCAGGCTTGACCAAATAAATATAGAACAAGTGTAGTACAGGCAGTCCTTAACTTACAACAGTTCATTTAGTGACTGTTTGAAATTACAACCCAACTGAAAAAAGTGACTTATGACTCTTATGCACGCTTACGACCATTGCAGCTTCCCCCATGATCAAAATTCAGATGCTTGTGGTCGTAAGTCGAGGACGACCTGTATTTAAGTTTATCTTCCAGTATGATCCCAGCCTACCTGGGAAGACAGATCTCCAAGCCCTTTAAACAATGCCGTATCTTAGGGCCGGGATGGTGAACCTATGGCACGCATGCCACAGGTGGCACGCACAGCCATTTGTGTGGGCATGTGAGCCCCAGCTAAACTTACCTGCACTGCACAAGCGCGTTTTTGAGACCATTTTCACCCTCCCGGGGGCTCAAGGGAAGTCTCTGAAGCCTCAGGAGGCGGAAAAACAGGCCTTCTGGAAATACCAGAAGTGCCAAAACGGGCCCGTTTTTCGGCCTCCCGAGGCTGCAGAGGCTTCCTCAAGCCTCTGGGAGTGCGAAAATGGCCTCAAACGGGCCGAAAATCAGCTGGGAGGCACACACATGCACAGTGCAGGTAAGGGAGAGGGGCAGCAGTGTTGTGCATGCATGCGCAGGGGGGTGGGGCGCATTGCATTTCGGCACACCACAACAAAAAGGTTCGCCATCACTGCCTTAGGGCCTCCTAGGAGGTGTTCCTTCTCTGTCCAGGTATCCAGAGGCAGCAGGTTCAAAAAGTTAAAATGACTGCCTGCGTCAAAATGGACCAGGGCCGCAATCATAAAGGTTGTGAAGCCATTTTTACTTTTTGGAGCCTGTGTTAAATCCATAAGGTTCCCATGTCTAGGACAATCCCAAAGTTTCCCAGCATCTCTTGGGTGGTTGGATGTTAGGTTCCTGTTGTTGTTCTTTTGATTTATTTTAATGGATGGTTTTCTCTTCTGGATGTACATGAGCTCTTGCTCTGGGTTTGTTTGTTTTTTATTGCTTTTTGCTTTTTAAAATGTATTCCACCCAGTGTCATTTCGGGTGGGGAGGTAGTCAGATCTCCTTCACTTTTGGCCATGTTTCAGAGATATTCTGGAAATTGTAATTGAGCAACATCTGAATGCCAGAGTTCCTCTTCTTGGACCCTCAATGGTGGCTTAACAAAAAGAAGTGGCATCAATAGGCGCGCTCTGCTCATTTCAAATTAACTCAGGAAGTGATTAAAATGGGAAAAAGTCTCCTTAGTTCTAGTTTGCTTCTCTCCTTGATTAGCTTCCATCCTTTGCTTCTTCTCCTGCCTTCAGGTATTTAGGAGAATAGCTTGACTCCCTCTTCTTTGTGGTAGCCCCTGAGATATCAGAAGACTGCTATCATCATGTCACCCCCCTGGTCCTTCTCTTCCTTAGACATACCAAATTCCTGCCACTATTTCTCCTTAGTTCCAGGTTGCTTCTCTCCTTGATTATCCATCCATTGCTTCTTGTCCTGCCTTCAGGTGCTTTGGAGAATAGCTTGACTCCATCTTCTTTGGGGCAGCCCCTGAGATAT